CCCCAAAACCCCAAAACCCCAAAACCCCAATTATACAATTTAATATTGAACAACTGGAATTATGTATTTTCTCACCCACTTCTTGTACTAAGTCTTACGAGCATTTTGAGAGATGCTTCAGATTTTTAAGAGATTTGGCCCTTTTTAGAACTCATCTGGAAAGTCACCTTAACTGAATTGTCTGACCTCATACTGGAGTCCTAGGGATTAGAAAAGTAGCTTACATCTGAGAAATCGCTTTCACTCTTTTTGTCCTTGGATTCAGAGGAAAACGTGTTATTTACGATCATTGGACTCGTTTAGAGATTCCTCTATTCATCCGAGCTTGTAAGGATGAAACATACTGGGTCTGTTGTGGCTAATCTCTGGAACTGTTATCATCTCTCTCCCAGTAAATGAATTTTTAGTGAGCCTTCTGAAACTTGATTGACCATCTGAAGGGAATATAATTTTCTGTCAAATTATGCCACTTACCTGCAACAAGTTTTGAAACTACCCAAGCATCCAAAGGGACAGCTTTTGAGGGTTTCCTTGTTTCACCTATATTAATTTACAAAAAAATTACGCTTCTCAAGTGGGACAGCAAATGAGCTTTTACGATTTCCAAAGCTATTAGTGCTCTAAAAAAAGGTGAAACTTTTCATAGATAATGCCTTACTCCCATATCAGCGACTGTGCAGTTCTCTTCACTACTGAGAGACTTAAGTACTTTATTCAGGTGGTCTGAGTCACTATAGACTTCTCCCATTCCGTCTGAAAAGACTACTGTTTTCATGAACGAGTCTTTGTTCTCTCTCTGTTGTGCTTCCATCCTGATTGGTTAGAAGGATGTCTTACACGTTTTTCATGTAGATCATCTGTTGCATGATGGACTTCTGCCTAAAGTTATAACGATTAGAACTTCTTGACTTTAGTAACGAATAGAGATGGAGCTCTTAAGCCCAACATTTCATACTATTTTGTCATAAATATAGCAGCTAGAATAATTTTAGAGTAATCTACCATTAATTCTATGAAGAAATTATGTCTTAAAAGTATTCCAATAAGAAAATAGGTATCTCTTTGTTAAAAGTATAGTGCTATGTGGGCATTTTGAAAGTGAAGAACCCTAATTTATGGTATCCACAGTACCTTTTAATTAGCCCTTTAGCAGTGATGTTAGGTGATTTCTCATATCGATGGATATTTTTCGAATTAGTTGTCCAAGGTGAGCTGTAGGAATGAGTTGACCTGCTTCCTCTTTTCGATTCTTCTTTACGAACTGAAGGAGATGGACCTGGTGTTTTATCTTTTCGATTTCCTGCTACTTTTTCACTATAAAACCATCAATAATCCCATCTCTCCCATCTGCTTACCTTTGCGCTTCCTCCTCTTGCGCTTCATCCTTCACCAACCTATTTTCAAAATCCCTTCTATTTCTTACCTGAGTCTGTTATTATTCAAAAATGGTGCTACACCTCTTTCTAATACCTCCACATCCTCTGATTCTTTCCTACACAGTCACACTGGTCATTACCTGGTATTTATATTCTCAGCCATGGTGTCTTCGACCACATGCATGATTTTCTTACTACTAAGCGCGAAAGGAATGTCATGGTACTTGTCCATTATGCTGTCCATGGTCGCAACGTATAGGAAAAGTTTGCAGCCAGTAGAGACCAGAGTGACCTCTTCGATGTTGAGGTAGTCGAAGATCTTGTCTAGCACTCAGAGGATCGCTCGGGAAGGATTCATGCGCATTATTTTTGAGGTGAGAGATTTGTCGGATTTACCATTAGGTTGGAGATATTCATAAGCAGCTGTTCAAAAATGTAATGATGAAAGTGTCAGATTAATATGAATCAATTACAGAAGGGAATAAGAAAACTAAGGTTAGGGTGCATCCAAGTGTCTATTCTATTAAGAAATGCAGAAGAGATAAGATGTTGGACTAAATAATTATGGTCTGTTTAGGCTTTCAAAGGTAAGGAGATTTATTAATATACTTACTCATTACAGCATCTTGCATTAGCTTCTTGACTTTCCTTTCTTTCAGATTTTCTCACATTTTATTATACCTGGATCAATTAGATCATGCGTAATTTCCATTGAACAACATATAAACAACTATTTTTAAGTGCTGAGTGCAAAGGTCGATTTTGACAATCTCTTCATATTCCATGATTATTCCATTAAACTATCAAAACTTTCCAAATTACTTAAATCTCCACGAATTTGTTCAAATATTACTGTGGTACTTACAAAGGATGATCATTGTTCTTCGTAATTAAGACAGACCTTTTACATCAACAGCCTCCCATATTCTTCGTATTTATTTTATAATATATTGATAATTACCATTAGGGCTCTCACCTGGGGTTTTGGGGTTTTGGGGTTTTGGGGTTTTGGGGTTTTGGGG